AAGTACTTTAAACTGTATAAATAATGTAAAATTAAATTGATTTAAACAGCCAATCATACGAATGTCTGCCTATGAAGTGCCAAGTGAGTGTTTTGACTTAGTGAATCGAAACACGAATGCATAAAAACTAACAATATTTTCTGTGGTTAATATGAGTGACACCGAGGGAGAATAGGACATTGGTTTAACATTGAGTATTATATGATATATTCCGTGAAGTTAATATATCAGGTTTTAAATAATATATTGATATCACTTTTCGATGAAGATTAAATTCAAGTAAATAGATAAGACTTCAGAATTATTTTTATAAACGGCTATATTCAAATTTATGTGATATGTCCGTCCCAAAAACAATAAGCGATCATTATCTAGAAATGGTAAATCCGATAGCGAGGTTTATCTTAGTTATATCTTAATAAAGATGAGCCAAAATATTGTTTGTCTCCGTAGATTATTTTATACTGTACGTGGATAATTGGCGCTAGGGTTAGGTGTAAGTTACATGTAAGGTAAAATAAGTTATAAAATTTAAAAATTACTAGAATTACAGTAAGACCTCTATAAGTACACCCCTCAGGACCATAGTAAAAAAAAGCAAAATATGCACTTAAAAAGTGTATACATTTATAAAGAACAAAATACATAGTACTCTTATAAGTTGGGGCTAAGCTATACCGTGCATTTAGAAAGAATTTACATAGGGCGTGCACTTATAGAGTGCGCACTTCTGGAGGTCTTACTGTATATAGTTATTTATGAAAAATAAAGTATCTGCAAATTCTTGCTTTTGATGGGGCTATGCAATTTATATGAAATATACATTGTATAATTTCTGTAATCAACTATCAACTGTTCAGTAATAGTGGAAACTAATATGCAAAACACTTGGCACAATAATTTGAAAGCATGATAAATAATTTTTTTATATATTGGTATCACAATAAAACTTCTATAAGTGCATGCACTTTGGATCAAGCTTTAACAATGTGTACTTAGAGATTAATAAGAGAAAGTGCATTTATAGGAGTATGTATATATTTAGAACTTGATAGAAAGTGTGTACAGTTTTACAGTATATAGAATTATGTATATTAAATAGTATTAAAATTTTTATGCTTTTAAATTTGTTAAATACATATTATAAATTATTTATAATAATTTACTAAAAATTTTAATAATAAACTATTTAAATTTAAATAAATGTTTAATTTTAAAAATTATATATATATACATATATGTAACTTACATTTGTTAGAATGTAAGTTACAGTGTAACTTACATTGTAACTTACAATATAACTTACATTTGCCCACCCCTAATTGGCGCAAATAATATTAAAATGAATGCATTTGATTTATTCCTTGATGCAACTAGTAAAAATATGATGTTTACAGCATTTTTTCGGTAGAGCACTAAAAAAAATATGAAGAAGGCAATTTATTGATATAATAAAGCAATTGGTAATGGATGCGCAGCAGCTGAATGGATACTTTGAAATTACTATTTTAGGAATCAAAATTATTGTAAAACATTTAAATTGCTCAAATTCAACTGATAAGGACAATATAATGGCAACGACGTACAACTAGAGATGGGTTTCATGCGTGGCGTGGCATGATTCCTCAATCGTGCGCATGATTCGGAATCATGCGCATTTTATCCCATCTAAATTTTATATAGGTATATTTAATTTAGGCCAAGGTGTATCATGTCAGGCAAAATTAAGAAATAGGAATGCAGAAGTTTTGAAAAATTCCGAAAAGAAAATGAATGAACATGAAGATGAGAAGGGTCGGGAAAAATTTTTGGCAAATATCTGATATTTTCCGGAGGGAAAATATAAAATCAAAAAAATTATATCATGCAATATTATGCGCATTTTATATTAATGCGCATTTCCCCATCTCTACGTACAACTTGGGATTATCTTACAAAAAGGATGTGACACAACAATGAATATGGTAAAAGGGTTTGTTATCTTAAACAAGCTGCTGAGATAGGAGTGTGAACTTGTTATTTGCTATGAATACGGTGAAGAGATATCAAAAGACTTGAATAAAGCATCTTATTGGTTTTGAGAAGTTGGTTGCTAACTTGCTCAGGAACGTGCTACGGACAGTGAGCGCAAATCAGGCTTTTTTATTTTATGTTCACATTTGAGAACATAAATAATCTTTATTTAATTAATAAAATTTTATTAGTGATTATTATTTTTAAATTTGAACATGAAAAAAAAGTATTTTCACAAAAATTGCCATATTGTCTTTCGAATTTTCCAACACTGGTCGCAGCTAAAATCAAGTACAATATATGATACCTAAATGAATTATATAATTAACTTTTTATTTTAACGTTATTTCCCAGTTACAGTCATTATTTCTTGAAGGTGTAAATCCTTTTTTGTTTTAGAGATAGTGCTGTAAAGGAGCATTTACTAATTCTTCCCAAGTTTTGGGATTCTGATTATTCAGGATACAAGATCAAATGTAATGTGAAAATTAAAAGCCACATTAATCCCAATTATCTCCTAAAAATTACCTTGTGCACTAGAAAACAAATTTCTAAATTTTGATATAGTGTTATTCACTAACCCGTTTCTAATCCTAGATACGTATGTTTTACAAAAAAAATGGCATGTAAATTGAAATGATTTGATTTTTTTCAAATTACATATCGACAATTACTAAATTATGTCGGGTAAATTGCACAATGTATAAATAATAACCAAGATTATATATAACGTTGGATTAAATCTATTATGCGTGACACCTTTTATTTGGCACTGAAATATGATGTAACATGAGGAGAGTGATTAATAAACATTAACTAGTTAATTACATTGTTAATGTTTATTTACCACATCTGTGATTTATTGCACCTCAGTAAGTGATCCTATATCGTTAATTAGAACCAAAAATAAAATTGATAGAAAATTCCGAAATTCTAATCTATTCCCATATGAAAGTAAGAATGTAATCATTGTTATGGTAAAAAGACAAAAATAGAAATTAATAAGTACGGCAATAAACTAAATAAAGAAAAATTTTGAATATAATACCGACACTGTGTTTTTAATGCTGGTCCAACCTTGTGTCATCTCTAGAAAATTTTTTTAGTCAATCAGATTTCGAAATCAGGTGTAACGCTAAGGAAACACAAACCAAAAGTCGTTGAACTGTGTGGTAAAACATAGTCATCCCGAAAAGTCATAAATTAGAGTAACAGTAGTACGAAATATGAGAAATCCTTTTATATATCAGATATTATGTTAATAGTAACGGAATACAACCAACTCTTGATATATGAAAGTCGACAAAGTCTTCCTTATATCAAGATTTTCTTATAATAAGGTTTTTTATTGTACAATTTTCAATTGGGACTTATAAAATCTTCTTATATCAAGAGTTTCCTATATCGAAAGCCGGGAGTTACTTGCATTCATAATTCTCATTTAAAGGGATTATACTCTCGGAGTTTTTTTTTTTTATTATGATAAATCGGATTTAGTTTGGTAAATTATGGCAAACATTACTGCAAACGAGTTATTTGAAAAGATTATTAATGAAGGAAGCCAAATTATAAACAAACATGATTTTAGTTCATTTAGCAATCTTAAGAGAATTAGTAATGGTCCGTTTGGGACCGTACGTACCGCAAAATGGAAAGATTCTACTATTATTGTTCTTAAAAGCTTAAATATTGATACCGACGAAATTATTAGCAATGCAATTATTGCGGAAATCACCAAATTTGTTAACAATAAAACTATTCCCAAAACTATTACCGATGAAACTACTACCGATGAAACCATTACCAATGAAGCTATTATCAATGAAATTATTGCCAATGAAGTTATTAACAATAAAGCTATTACCAATGAAATTATTAACAATCAAACTATTACCAATGAAATTATTAACAATGAAACTACAAATGAAACAACTACAAATGAAACAACTACAAATGAAACAACTACAAATGAAACAACTACAAATGAAACAACTACAAATGAAATAACTACAAATGAAACATCTCCAAATGAAACATCTCCAAATGAAACATCCATTAGAGCATTTATTAATGAGGTAATATTTTTTTATTACTTTTTCAAATAAGCCATTGCATCTTTCTCATTGTTCCTAATATTTAGCTTCAGAATCTTGTTGATATTGACAAACATAAACATCCAAATATCGTCCAATTTTATGGGGTTACAAAAGGTAATTAAGCAAGTTAAAGTTACTCCTCAAAACACTATCTTTTAGTAAATCAATATCAAATAATCTCTATTTAAACAGATCCCATCAATAACGAGTATAACTTAATTTTGCAATTTGCTGTGGATGGAAATTTACGCGAATACTTAAAGAAGTATTTTTCGAAATTAAAATGGTCAGATAAATTAAGATTTGCACAAGAAATAGCTCAAGGGTTGTCGTTTTTACATAATAACAGGATATTTCATCGAGATCTTGTAAGAACTCTTGCATGCAATAACTTTTATTATCTTAAATTTCTTAAAATTATTGACTTTTTTTTTTTTAAATAGCATTCAAAGAACGTTTTAGTTCATAATGGAAGAATGTTGATTACAGATTTCGGAATATCAAAGCATATGGATGATGTAACAATAGTTAAAGCTAATGGAATGTACGGTTATTTAGAACCACAATGCCTTGTAAATTATCAATATAAACGTGACAAAAAATCTGATATTTATAGTTTCGGAGTAATTCTCTGGGAGCTTTCGAGTGGTAGACCACCTTTTAATTACTTTGAGCACCACCTTGCAATTATAAAATATATATTAGAAGAAAACAGGGAGAAACCCATAGAAGATACACCAGGCGATTATGTTAAACTTTATCAATATTGTTGGGATCAAAATCCTAAAGTACGTCCGGAAATTGAATATGTTCTTAGAGAATTGAAGAAACTTCGACTTTCTTTAACTGATGACAAAAATATTTCTGATAAAGAATGGATTAAGTGTAAAATCAATGAAGGACTGATTACCGAATATAAGATTGATAAATTTATTGAATTTAAAATGATTGGCAATGGAGCTTTTAGTATGGTTTATAAAGCAATATTAAAAAGTACAAATAATACGTATGCGCTAAAAATAATTCATAACAATGAGCATACTGATAAAGAAATTGTGAATGAAGTAAGTAATATTACATATAAACATTAGATAAAAATACACTACATACTAAAGTGTAAAATTTGCAGATAAAACATATAATTTCTGTGGGATTTCATGAGAACATTATTAAGTTTTATGGTGTTTCTAAATACAAAGGTAGGAAAATTTTTAATAATCTGTTCTCTAAATAATTATTGTTTATCCATGTTCTTCAAATTATTAATGTTATATTATTAATGTTAAATAGATCAAATGGATCCAAATGTTGTTAAAAATGTACTTGTTCTTGAATATGCGGATAATGGAACTTTAAGGGATTATTTGCAACACAATGCTACTAATATCGAATGGAAGTTAAAAATTCAATTTGCGAATCAACTTGCAAATGCTGTTAAATGGTTGCATGATTGTAATACTATTCATGGTGATCTAGTAAGTTTTATAATACTTTGTAAATTAAGTTCTGTAGATGATCAAAAATCATAAACATATCAATGGAGACTATTTACAGTATCTACTTGATGTAATATAATTATTATACTAATAATTTTTCATTTTCTTTTAAAGCATCCAAGTAATGTACTTGTTCATCAGCAATCTTTAAAATTGGCTGATTTTGGATTATCAAGACGTATTTCTGAATCCTCAGAGTCTAGAACCACGAAAGAAATTTTCGGAGTTATACCATATATTGATCCCCAATGTTTTTTGGTAAAAAGCACACAAAATGGTGTATCCAAAAGGTATAAAAAGAATAAGAAATCAGATGTTTATAGCGTAGGAGTTATATTATGGGAAATATCAAGTGAAAAAATTCCTTTCAAAGATGATAAAGACACAGCAACACTCCCATTAAGGTTAAGAGACGGACTAAGAGAGGAGCCAATTGCTAATACACATCATAAATATGTTGCTATTTATGAGAGTATGTTTGCATAATATTATGCCTGTAATTTATATTTTTGTTTCTTGAGTCATAAGTTCTTATATAATTTTTAGAGTGTTGGCAGGGCATGCAAGATGATCGACCATCTATCCAAGAAGTAGCGATGGAACTAAAAGATATTATCATTCAAGACATTGATGTTCAAGATATTAATATTCAAGACATCTCAAAAATCGAAAATTTTGATATTTTTGATATTAATAGTTTTGAAAAATACCTTGATTCTGTCTTTAACAAATCAATAAATCAAGAAAGTCAAGATATAACTAACAATTCAGACGAACAAGAAACTCAAGATTCAGACGAACAAGAAACTCAAAATTCAGATGAACAAGAAAATCAAGATTTAGATGAACAAGAAAATCAAGATTTAGATGAACAAGAAAATCAAGATTTAGATGAACAACAAACTCAAAATTCAGACGAACAACAAACTCAAAATTCAGATGAACAAGAAACTCAAAATGTAATTAACAATTCAGACGAGCAAGAAGCTCAAGAAACTAATAAATTGAAAGATGACATGTCCCTTTTTGTTGATAAATTATATATGACTTTTGATAAATTATTTAACGAAGGTAGACCTGTCAGTGATATAATTATCAATTCCATATCTAAAGATGGTAAAACTAATGAAGAAGTTTTTAATTGGTTATCTACTCATGACGATATTCCAAAGTATATTTGTCTACTTGGATTATTTTATAGTTGGGAAATTGGCACAAAAAATGAAGATGTCGATGTATTTAAACTATTTCTTAAGGCAGCAAATTCAAGGGATATTATTGCTCAATATTTTGTTGGACGATGTTATGAAACTGGTTGGAACATCAAAAAGAATATGAAGCAGGCAATTGAATGGTATACCAAGGCGAGCAAAGGTGGATGCGCAATCGCGGAATGTATGCTTGGCGAATATTTTTATAAACTTAATAAATATGAACAAGCATTTAACTTGCTCAAAAGTGCGGCTAGGAAAGGAAACGCATTAGCGAAGAATACATTAGGAATATGTTACCAAAAAGGTTACGGAACGAATGTTGATAAGGCTAAAGGATTTAAGTCATTTAAAGAAGCAGCTGAGATGGGTCTACCTGCTTCACAATATGAACTTGGCGATTGTTATGAGTACGGTAATGGGACAAAAATAAATTTGGAAAAATCATTATATTGGTATAAAAAGGCTTCAGAAAAAAATCTTAATTACCGGATTCATGTAAATCGTGTCAAAAATAGATTAAATAAACAACAAAAATACGTTAAATAGTTTTTATGTATACTGTAGTTGGATTTCTAATTACGTAGCTACTTTAATTTACTCAATTCACTCGTTGTTCAATAAATATTTTAAATTTATTCAATAAAATTAAATATTTTATGCACGTAATTATGTACACGTACATTATGCATAATGTTAAACAAGGTCGTTCAAAATTTGATTACAGTAAAACCTCTATAAGTGCACGCACTCAGGAACAGCATTTAATGATATGCACTTAGAGAACAATAAGAAAAAGTGCGTTTATGGAGGTCATGTCTGCATTTCAGGCCAAAATCTGTGTGTGCATTTAGAGGGTGCACTTAGAGAGGTTTCACTGTAGCTAGTTAACGCCATTTCCCTTGGTTATCTGTTCCATTGAAATTAGACAACCCAACCACAACACAACAAAAGCTTCATTAGTTATGTAATTAAAGTTTACCAGTGAGATTTAGTCAAATATTCTTAGGCATATCAGCCTATAAGAAATTGCAGCACGGGATGATACTGCAATGCACGAAAAAGTATGGATATGGAACTACACGAACTTGCACGTAGATCTATACGTGATATTGCATGAGAAAACACGTTTACAGCCCGTAAAAAGGCGCGGAATCTATGCAACAGTGCACTGTTTTCTCGTGCATTGTCTCGTACATATTTACGTGCAAATAACACCTAATAACGTACGTTCCGCACATACATTCATATACATCATTCCATTGCAAACAGGTATTATAATTTGTATTTTTATAATAATTTTATTAACTAGATTTTAAAATCTGAATACTTTAATTTATTGAGTTATGAAGACATTACAGTATTACATAATAAATCTCAATTTACATGCTAAATAAGAAAATATCTCTAATCACCAAAAACTGCTAACTTCAAAAGTAATCCAGCAACCAACAATGTCAGAAAAAAAAAAACCAAAATATTGATCCAAAATAAAGGTACAAAACTACAACCACCTAAAAAAAATAAAAAAGTCTAAAACTATTATTAAAGAATCGGATGCAAATGCAATGATATATGAAAAGTAAAACAGCTTCAAAAGAGTAACTTCAAAAGTGATGTTAAAATTGATAGAAATACAAAACCAAAACAAAGCTAGTAAAAATGAGTGCGAAAAAAAACAAAGATGTAAGTAGAAAAAAAAAACAAAAAACAAAAATGAAAGTATAAAATAAAAAAGACAATCAATGTTATGATGCCTTCAAACACAATGAAGAACTCACAATGAAGAACTCAAAATGAATGCCTTCTAAAGCAATAATTCCAAAGAACTCCAAAGGCAACTCCAAAAACAATGGCAATAGCTAAAAAGTGATTAATTGACAGTTAGTGAGATATGAAAAAAATAAAATTAAAAAAATAAAAGAAAATAATAAAAACTGTAAGTGTAAAAAAAACAAAAAAAATATTTATTTACTCAGATCAAATATGCAGATATACATCAATACATAGAAATTATGATCATTAAGAATCTTAACAATCCTCATATTAGTGTATAGAAATTATGATTGTTAAAAATCTAAATGATTGTGCATATTTTAAGATTTATACACATCAATATATGTATGCACAACAGTGTATATATTTTGAATTTATATTAAATTTTTGAATAAATAGTTTCTATACAGTTTTCGTGTAGTTATTATGAAACCTGTGCTTATATTTTTATTTTCTTTATCTTATTATTATTTTAGTTATTGTATACTACATATTTATTATTATTTTAATTACCCTCATGTATAATTAATTAAATAGCTTTAATTTTAATAAATAGTTAGATTTTTTTTAACTTTGAGCAAAGATATCTCCACAAGCACTTAACAAAATTTGATAAATTTTTTTTATTTAAATTTTATGCCTTTATTTTTTTATTTTTTTTAAGGCAAAATCTGTTTTCTGTACACTTTTATTAAATTAAGATGATATTAAGTACAATTTAAGTATATCATTTGATGTTCTAGATCTCTCCTTTCATGGTGTTATAGTCTTTAATTTCACTGTAACCCTAATTTGTTATGTACAATAAAACTAGGTCTATATCTAAGAACTAATACAATAATCTTAAGTATTTCTAGCTTTACAATTTACCCTCAATCTAAATCTACTAGACTGGTAACAAACCTTATTTGTTAGATTTATAGGTTTTTGTATACCTACTCACAGTCTCTAATTGTTGCAGTTGGGATTACCCCTAAACCAATATGCTCTTATAAGATTTACATTAACCTCAGTACCCTGCATTTAGACCTTTTCTTTTACAGGTTCTTTACTAGTCACTTTCTTACTCCCAGCCAATGACTCAGAAAGGTTAATCTGCCCAGGTTTTAGATACCTTATAGTTTTCCTCATCTTAGTATATATTTTTGAATCATATATCCTTTTTCTCTAGTGCAATAGTCCTGGTGGTCTGGTTGGTAGATCCTCTTGCCAGAGACCTCTTGTTGTTTAGTTTTTTAATCTTAACTCTGTTTCTAAATTAATCCTCCTGTAATACTGTTAGAAGTTTCTACAACCTCCTTATTTAGGTCTTCTCAAATGAATTTATATTATACTAATTCTTTGAATTTTTTGTATTCCTATCCAAGATAGCATACCAAACAACTGATTGACAAAAAATATAACTATAATACAGGCAATTTTTTGAAAATTGTTGTCTATGAGATTCAAACTCTTGATCTGCTACTTCGTGGAGTGATAACTAAACTACTTCACTAAGCCACCATATCCTAATTTTATATCTTTATAAAATTTAAATAAAAAATTATTAAATTGATTAAGTGGTTGTGAAGATATCTTTGTTTTAATATTTAAAAAAATCAGTGCAGCTTTAATTTTGATAAATAGTTTGATTTTTTTAAATTTAAGCAAAATATCTCTACTAATATATTTTTTATTTTTTTTTTATTTATTTTATTTATTTTATTTTTTTTTATTTTTTTATTTTTTATTTTTTTAATATTTTAGCAGTTATGCTTTTACTTTATTAGGCTTTGTAATAATCATCTAAACTATTAAAATTTTAGAGAAACTTATAGTAAGTAATAAACTCTAAATATATTAGCAGATAGTATATAAGAACTATCTCTAAATGACATATGCCATGCCCGAAGGCAATACAACTATATCTAAATTACAAGTAAAAACTAACCTAGTTATTTACTGAATACCTATGTTCAACCTGCTATTTTAGGATTCTCCTCCTTCCGGACCCCTCCTGCAATTGGATATGACCTGGCTCTTAACAGATAGTACCTCTAAATGACAAGTGCTGTATCTATAATAGGTTCCTTTCCCATTTCTCATGTTAAAGATTCTTTCAAACCAAGCCATGATATACATTATTCCAAGGAAAGTCTCTAAATTTTCAAAGAGCATCATTAGAAAAGCATATTTGTTGTTCTTCTATTTTATTCTTTTGCATTACAAGTTATTTCGTTGACAAAAAGGCCCCAACTTCTTATAAACACTTTCTTTCCAGAATTTTGAAAGCAAAGGTGCCAATTTCTGCCAGTTATCTTGTTTTCTAATGCTTCTAGTTTACATGCTAAATATATAAAGGAGTCTCTGAATCAAAAGGTTGACCTTTACAAAAACTGCCCCATAGCACTGTCTTCTTCTCTTCAACAAATTTTTGTTTTTTTTCGGTAGGAAATTTTGGTTCAGATAATCATTGGAAAGAGTGATATAATTTTTATTTAAATTCTATGGCTTCATAGAATTTATATAAAAAAATTATTAAATTTGATCTAATAGTTATGAAGATAGCTTCACTCGAAAAGTTTTAAAAAATTGTATAGCTTCTATTTTAATATGGTGCAAGACATCTATACTCAATGGTTATATAAAGTGTTTTAATTTTTTAAATGGCTATAACTTTTTATTTAAGAAGTTTTAAAAAAATCTGACTAGTAACTTTATAGAGCTATATCAGCTCTACATGTGTGCCAAATATCACTTCAAAATCTTATCATTATAAAAAGTTTTAGTGATTTGAAAATTGAAAATTTATATATAAATGGATAATTTTAATGCTCATCAGAGGAAAATTTACTGGGGTGCTGTATCTCAAAAATGTACTAAATAAATGGGATCAGGTACTCTAAGTAAAAATGTTCAAAACCTCTAAAAACCTTATAAAAACTAAGATTGAAACCTTTTATTAGCACTATGTTATTTTATATAAAAAAAAATCTTAATACCCTAACTCTAACTCTAATCTAACTCTAACAATTCTTAGACTGATAAATTTTATCCCCAGTGATTTTTAAATTAATTCTATATAAATTTATAAATTCATATATCAAATTTCAATTTTTAAATTGCTAAAACTTTTACAGTGATAAGATTTTGAAATGATATTGGTACACATGTATAGCTGATATAGCACTATAAAGTTACTAGTTAGATTTTTTTAAAACCTCTTAGATAAAAAGTTATAGCTATTTAAAAAATTGAAAAACTTGTATAACTATTGAGTATAGATATCTTGCACCATAGTTATTTTATTTTTATTTAACTTTAAGTGAAGATATCTTTATTAGTGATTTGAACTGAAAAATTTTCTTAATCAGTTAACCAAACTGAATTATTTCATTAACCAGATATCAACTAATTAATAGGCAATCCGCCAGTCACCTGGATAAAAAATTTTTTTTTTATATATAAATTTTATTATAAGTGTGAATGCACAGTGCTTCTATTTAAAACCTTTTTTATACTAAGTAAATCACTCTTCGGCTTCTAACAAAAGTTGTAGAGCTCATAAAAATGTATTTAATACTAAAA